TGGAAACATAACCCAAGCATTGAAACCTGGTCGTGAAGGGTATATGGTGCCAGTCTTTCTTCTGTGACATATGTTTCCAACTCGAGCCCTCACTAACATGTGTTAAATGAAACCAGTCGGTCAACAATTAGGGCAACTACGAATGTGTTTTAAGATTCAAGACCACCCTTTTACTGCGCGAGTAAATGTGGCACTTTAGCAGCACTGTCCAAAGCATTTCTTCCCTGGAATGATATGTAATCGCTATTGCTGTAAACGAAGGGGCATGTGAAGGGGCGTGAAAGGGAACATCTTCCAGGGAAGATTTTCCCTCAAGCTGCTGTGGGCTCAAAATCGAATCAACTAGTGGTGAAGATCGTTCGGCCTGCGTTCCAGTCCACACAGCCTCACAAAATCTCTAGTTTGCAGAGGTGGTTACTGTACGTAATATGAGTGAAGGGCTGATTTTAGGTTGTGTGCCCTTCGACAGGAAAAGAGATGGAAGCAGATGAGAGAGGCGAGTTGTGCCTGCGAGGGCCAACAGTTAATGCAGGGCTACACGAACGAGGATTGCCAACCCGACGAAGCCGGCTGGTATCATACAGGTATTGGACGTTCCACTTTACCTCGACCGCGACATGACCGAACGACTCCAGACTTACGCCCTCAAACTGGGATTTCTAAAATAACTGACTAATAAGGAATACACCAGTTCAGGACAAGTGGGTCACCTCGACAGACACGGCAATGTATTCATCTCCGGTTATCAAGAGCGATCTCATCGAAGTAGACGGACAACAGGTAACTGTCCATACCTCGATAGCTTGCCCCATTGAAGAACTCGAGAAACTGCAAAGAGTAAAGCACACTATTTATCTGGAAATCGTATCACCTGCCCGACAGTAATGATTTTTTAATTGGTTTCTACCCCCGCTCTTTACCATATCTTTTTTTCATCGAGTTCTTCAATCCTCTAAGGCACAGTGCATGAACACAGCCTTACTCCCTTGTCTTGCCGAAGATTTGGGGTTGGTTGTGGCCTCACTAGAACAATACTCATGTTGAGTGCGACTTTTTGTCAGATCCCACTGGCCGAAGTCGAGGATGTCCTTCTCACGCATCCTTCGATTACTGATGCTGCAGTGATCAATGTAGCTGATAGGAGTAAAGAGCAAAAGACGAAAGCATTCGTCGTTCAACGTGATGAAACCTTCACAGCTGAAGATGTCTACCGTTTTGTGGATGGTAAGCGCAGAAATTTTTTCATTCCTACAGTACTATTCTTTGAAAATTCCGTCGAGCTCTACTTTGTGATCATTCTCCATCAGAAGCCTACGGCTTGAGCCCTCCTTTAATACTCGAAGAATTCGTTTCATTAAGTCATTTTCCGCGGTTATTTCAAAGGTAGATGCTTAAGATTAGCTTACAGTCGTCATCCGGTGACGATTAATGCGGCAAGGGACGCGGA